TTAGGAATATGAAATCTTAAAAAATCTTGAAAAAATTTTAATAATAAACTAAAATTTTAAAGTTTTATTACCCAAAAATTTACTAATAATTTTAAAAAATTTTTATAATAAAGTTTATAAAGTATGTTTTCAAGAACATATTCTATAATAAATATATACACTATATTATTAATAAATTATTATTTTATTTAAAAATACTAGATATGCTTTAATTTTCTAGACAAATTTGTCTAGATTACAGTTTAAGAAATAATATTTATTATATTAATAATCATATTATTATAATAAAAGTTTATTATTAGAATAGGCAAGTAATTATAATAATAAAACCTATTATAGTAGTAGCTAAATAATAATATAATAAAACTTATTATAGTGTGAATAAGAAATTATAATAATAATAATAATTATTACTATAATCTAGTTTACTAAAATTTAAAAATTATTATTATTTATTTATACAAAATATTAAAATAATTCTAATATAATTTTAGCCTATTTCTAATTTTTGTTTTTTTCTTTTTATATATAAAGAATCTACAAGGCTAAATTATCAATATATAACAAGAATTGTTGCAAATTATTCTGACAATTATAATAAAAAACAGCTTCAAGTTCAAGAGATTTAATTAAAGCTCTACTAGATCAGGTTTGACTAACTTTATTGATACAAAAGTTGATGAGATAATAACTTCAAACTCAGTTAGAGCAAGGTTAAATTTGACTAATATTAGTTCAAATTTAACTTACTCTAACAATACAAGAGATACTACAATAATAGTAAATAAATTAAATATAATAAGAGTGAATAATCATAAAGAGAAAAAAGAGTTAAGTATAATAAAAAAAGAACAGATAAAACAGTTGTTTATAGTGAAGAAAGAGTGAATGATCTGAATAAAGAAAGAGTAGTGAATATTATTAAAGAAAGCAGTGATAACTATAATAAAGCTAATGAGGTATAGTAAATAACTATAATAAAAAAAGTAAGGATAGCTATAACAAAGCTAATAAGATTATAATAAATAACTTTAATAAAGAAGAAAGAAGAATGACTATAATGAAGCTAATAAGATTGCAGAGAATAATAATAAAACAAGAGCAGATAAACCAGAAAGTGTAATTTTTTAAAAAATTTTCTTAAACAAGAAATTGATGATTTTATTAAGAATTTACAAATAGATTTTTTAGGACTATTAACAATATATTTTATTGAGCAAAAAATAGTGAAGAATTTAAGTATAACAAGTAAGTTTATAAATACATTTATGATTAAATAAAAACTATCTTATTACTTTAATTATTTTTAATTATCAGTGAAATATTGTGATTTATTAATTATAATTAAAATATGGGTGAGTTAATAGTAATCAAACAAATTTTTTATAATCAAATTTTTTTTTTTTGGTATTAAGGTGACCCCTTTGGTCAAGTACTTTTATTATTGTATAGACTATTTTTACAACTAGATGATCTACATCCGTCGTACATATATTTCTATATACATAATCTCACTACAATACCATTTTAAGTAACTACCTTAGAACAATTTTATTTTTGGTGTAAACCTGCTAGAGCCTTCCGTACCTACAATCCAGCTGACCTAGGCTTCAGTTGATATGCACGGACTAAGGCCCACCACTTGCGGCCCAGTTTCCTGATCACCACTACACAACCTACTTCTGCCCTTATAGAGTTCACCCAAACCCCAGTACACACTTACAGACTATTTACTAGTATCCTCAGCTATTCCAAACTACTAATCCAATGGCCCAAAAGGGCTGTAACCTGCTTCTGGTCCCCATGGTTGGTCCTTTTTCTCCGGCTACCCTCCGGCGGCCTAGTTGGTGGAGTGCCTTGCCAAGCACTTTGGTCTCATCTAGTTTTTACCGGTTCTACAAGTATTAATCTGTATGTAGTACCATCAAAAATCTGTGCTACCTCTCTATTCGGGACTTCCCAAGTAAGTACCCCACTGCCATATTAGCCCTGTGGCTTTTTGCAATTCCGAAGAACTTATCTTGGGTTTGTACTAACTAAACCAGCTTGCATGCCTTTGTATAACTCCTTATATTACACAAATGCCCCAGGATCTTCCAGTTTTTAGCAAACCGTAATTGGTATAACCACAATTACAGGGTTTCAAGTTTTTCCAGCCACAGCATTAGTTACCAAATTTCATTTTTCTTAAAATCTAATTTTTGCTCTTCATGGAATTGAACTAATACTCAACCACTTGGGGGTGCGAATAATCAAATTTTTTTAAAATTTTAAATACAAATAACTTAATAAAATTTAACCAAATTTGATATATTTTGTTTTTAAATTAATTTTAAAAATTT